CTTTCCTTGTTTTTTATTTTTTTTGCTTCTGAATGGGGTAAAAAGGATTTAATTCGACCTTTGAATATAACTCACTGCTTATCCTTTTGTGGGTTTTGAAGATCTGCATTTTAGAACATATCATTAATTTGCATCTTGGTGTTAATTACTCATAAGTAGTGTTGAAATAATGCTACATGTATATGTTATGCCCATCTTTACTCCTTTGTCCCATATTGCCTATCAGGAACTGCTTTTATGATTTTCCTTATTGTTTTCTTTCTGTTTATGGATTAAAGTTTATTTATTTATTTTATATTTGTGTGCTGTTGAGTTTCGGGGGTCGTTTGTATTTATGACATGGATCAAATTTTCGTTTAAACCATTGGCTATTTGTTTTTTTTTCTTTGTTTTGTTCCATAAATAAATACTTTGTGCACGAAGCTGGAGTGCATGTATAACAATTGGCGCTGCGGTTGTGTTTAATATTGTATTTGTCTCTCTACTTATTCCAGGTTGTCAGCCTACTCTTTGCATGGTCTTGGCTCTTGGTAGGAGTTTTGATCACAAATCAAGAGATGAGTCGGACAACAAATGAGAGTGAAGATGGAATGCTGTACAAGGATCAGATTGATTCTCCGTTGATGGATGAGAGTAATGGAGGGAGTGGAAATGGTGGAATTGTTCTAAAGAAAGGGCCATGGACCTCGGCTGAAGACACAATTTTGGTGGAGTATGTTAATAGGCATGGGGAAGGAAACTGGAATGCTGTTCAGAAGCACTCAGGCCTGTTCCGTTGTGGCAAAAGCTGCAGACTGCGATGGGCAAATCACCTAAGGCCGAACCTGAAGAAAGGGGCATTTACCCCTGATGAAGAACGTCTGATTGTTGAACTCCATGCCAAGATGGGGAACAAATGGGCACGCATGGCAGCACACGTAAGTACATGGTTTATTTTTGTCTGTTTCTATATGGTTCATACCAAGCTCTATTTCCTTGTATTGCCTCAAACTTCAATTTTATATGGTTCATTCTTTTGGGATTTTCTTTCAAAGCTTTAGCTGCAACTTTTGGTTTTGTGTGGTAGGATGCTTCTTTTGCATGGAACAAACATTGATAGTTTCTCCAATTATTCTTTATTCTTTCCTTCAGACTTCCTAATTACGTGCCAATGTTGTCATTATATATGTTCAGCTTCTAGAACACAAAATTAAAACTCATTGACTGCTGCACATATTTTGCACTACCACAATTAAAGAACTTGTGCCTATTATGATTTATCTATTAAGATCAAATTAATAAAATCCTAAAAGATAACGCTACACGGTGATCCAAAGTCTTCCCTTAATTTAAAAGATAGTAAAATCATAAAAGATAACAGTAACAGTACCCTAGTTTGATACAGCTTCTAAGTAACATTGATTCTCAATTGGTTAAAACCGTATTGAAATCTTGTAGCTTTTGTTCCTCCACAACTTCTTAGATGGATGTGAATGAGAACTTGGATGTGATATCAGATTTATTGTGTGTTGAGCATTTGAGAGATCAGAGAAAAGTTTTTAGGGTGATACATATGTTAAATATCCTTCCTAGATTTTATAGTCTATGTTTTGCAAATTTTATGGAAACTAAAATCTTGACTGAATGCAGTAACAGAAATGTACAATCTTGCACAATACTTTGGCTAGATGAAGACCCATATTAATCCTAAGATATTTTGCATCCCTAAGAGGGTCAAATATAATTTCATAACATATGGTATTGTTTTTTAGATAAAAAATGGAGATCATTAAAGTGTGTATGTTAGGAGATTATTATAACAAGATAAAGTTCATTGTTGCACAAAATGCATGTTGTAGCAGATGCACCATATTAACATATCTCACCTAAATGTTCTTCACAGACTGGTACTACTTTTTACTATTTTTTTTATTTTTATATTGGGTTCCTTCAATGGTTTTTTCTCTTATTAGTTTCAAATTGAAAATAAAATAAATTATCATTTATTGTCAGCTTGATTAGAATCGTAATTTTCGTAGTATTCGTCTCAAAGTGTTTTCCTTTGTTTATTGGATATGATTAACTGTCTTTTCTGCACTCCTTAGTTGCCTGGACGTACGGATAATGAGATAAAAAACTACTGGAATACCAGAATTAAACGGCGCCAGAGGGCTGGCTTACCACTTTATCCTCCTGAGGTGTGTTTGCAAGCATTGCAGGAGAGTCAACAAGGCCAGTCCAGTGGTGGAATTAATGGTGCGGATGGAGCACATAATGATTCTATGCAAGCTAACAGTTTTGAGATACCTGATGTTGTATTTGACAGTTTAAAAGGAAACAACTGTGTCTTACCTTATGTTCCTGAACTTCCTGATATTTCTCCTGGTGGAATGCTGATGAAAGGCCTTGGTTCTTCTCCATATTGTGGTTTTATGTCACCAACAATGCATCGCCAAAAGCGTCTTCGAGAATCAACAGCTTTATTCTCTACTTCTGGTGGCAGTTTCAAAAATGGTTTCCCCCAGTTTGATCAATTCCAAAATGATACTTGTGATAAAATTGCTCGAACAGTCGGGTTTCCTTTTCCTCATGATCCTGATCCTACCATTCCACTGTCTTTTGGTGTAATTCAGGGTAGCCATTCCCTTTCAAATGGCAATTCTTCTGCTTCTAAGCCCACAACCGGGGCTGTGAAGCCGGAGCTCCCTTCACTCCAATATCCAGAAACTGATTTAGGTAGCTGGAGCACTTCTCCTCCGCCCCCCTTACTTGAATCAGTTGATGCTTTTATCCAATCGCCCCCACTGGTTGGTACGTTTGAGTCTGATTGCACTTCACCACGTAATAGCGGCCTGCTAGATGCTTTACTCCATGAGGCAAAGACTCTCAGTAGTGCGAATAATCATTCATCTGAGAAGAGTTCAAATTCATCCAGTGTTACTCCTGGCGATGTGGCTGAAAGTTCCAATTTGAACATTTGCGAGACAGAATGGGAAGAATATCGAGATCCGATTTCTCCACTGGGTCATTCTGCTACTTCGCTGTTCAATGAGTGTACGCCTATCAGTGCCAGTGGAAGTTCATTAGATGAACCGCCGCCTGCTGAGACCTTTACCGGTGAGTATCTTAATCTATGAGACCCGGAGACGAACGAGGTTGACAGTAACATTGTAAATTGATTCTTGATATTCCTATAGCAACATTTTTTGTATTAGCAGTTGGATAAGTCCATATCTATGTGCAGAATATGTCCTGTCCTGCCTGTTCTTATGACTTATGTTGTTTGACTATTCTGCCAGGGTGCAATGTGGAATCAGAACTGGTAGACCAAGCTTGGACCCCAGATACAGAAAGAGAAACCGCACTTCAGTTGGATTATACTCGTCCTGATGCTATACTTGCTTCAGAATGGTTTGGTAACAGCATGCATGAAAGTATTGCATCACTGCTGGGTGATGATTTAGCGGCGGAATGCAAGCACCTGGCTTCTGGTAGTCCTACTTCAAATCAAGGGTTGGGTTTTAGTTCATGTCCATGGAACACCATGCTTCCCTTCTGTGAAATGTCGGCTCAGCATCCTTAAGAAACCGCTCTGTCAATTGTATGAACCTGAAACTTGTCACCGAATTCATGCTGATGACTTGTTAACCGTGGGGGAAGTGAGTCCCCGTCTGAGAAAAGGTCACTTGCAATTGAGACTTGCGGGATGTGCTTTTCATGAGTCGTGGTTATGTTTTTGTTTGTGGTTTTCATTCGGTTTCTTTTCAAACCTTGCAATGCAAAGCATGTATGCCTAAACAGAACCATATGAGGTACAATTTGCTTGCAGGCTTTCGCTATGATTGCAGAATAACTATGCATTTTCGAACATGGAACCGTTCTCATACGATGGAACCTGCTTAGTTGTTTTAATTTATTTGCGTTTGAATTGGTATATTCTGTCTACGCTTTCCCTTCTTCCCTTGCTCTTTTTCGTTTTCCCCCTCATTGATAAATTTGAAACGATAAATTTATTGGGGTAAATTGTTAGTTGTACTGGGGGGAGGGTCGAGAGCTTTGATGTGAAGCAAGTTAAAACTATAAGGGGAAAGGAGGTTTGAAAAATAGTCGATGAAAGATGGTGGGAGAGAGGTACAAAAAATGTACAACGACAAATAAAAACCCAAAAACTAATTTAGGTTGGTTGGTTTCTCCCTCAAAAAAAATAAAAAATTTAGGTTGGTTTCATTTTCAAAATTTTGCTTTCATCATTTATCCTTATTTTCTCCCCTCCCATAACCCTTCTTCATCGCTCATTCCTTCATATAATGTCATCTTATCTCTAATACAAAAAGTAAAAAGTGAGTGGTATTTCCCTTTACTTGAGAGGTCTTAGGTTCGATTCTCGCAAAAAATGAATTTAAACTACATTATTATTAGCCCATTGTGAGGCTAAGCCCACCCCCTCACCCTTAATGTAAATAAGATCATTTGTTCAAAAAAAAAAATATCGTGTGGACGAAACCTAGTTTGATGATAAAAATAAAATAAAGATGTGTAAAAAGAGGATAGAGGTGTAATCACTCCCCAAAATTAATTCTCCATTTTGTTTCTATGACCGTAACCCTATCAAAAGAAAATGGTTTTTAGTCAAAATAGTCCATGAGATTAGTGTAACTCTTCACTCTGTCCCCTGATATTTAAAATCGATAGAAATGGTCCTTGAATATATCAATCATCAATTATTTTAGTCATTCTATGAAAAAACTCCGTTAAATAAGGATAACATGACAAAAACACTCAATTTTTTGTCATATCATTTTGGCCAATTGTTTACTAAATTGAGTGTATTTTTATTATTTTGGTCTTATTTAACAGAGTTTTTCATGGAATGACCAAAATGATAAATGGTAGACAAACTCAAGACTACTTCTACCAATTTCAAATCTCAGAGATCAAGGTAAATAGTTAGACCAATTTCAGAGATTATTTTGGATAAAAAGTTATATACGGTTTGAATTAAAAAGATCAAATGTCATGGCAAAATAAATATGCATATCAAATGTCAAACTTAAAATAATCATACAAAATTAGAACGTTCCAGCCTTTGCAGTGGAGAGGTCCTAGTACAACCCAAAATGCTCGATTAACTTTCATCATCTGAAGATTGGTAATCTCATCCTTAAAAGTACTCCACCACTCTTGTTATAAAATAAAAAGTTCAAAAAGATGTGCGTGGGACGTTTCCGCACACTCGTTTTCTCCACGTGCACGCAGAAATCTCTCAATTATATAAAAGATAATTATGAGATAGAAGTGCGCACAACGAGAAAAGACGTGTGTGGAAATCATCCCCCGTAAAGAAGTACTCACCATTCTTATTATTCTGACATTGTATCTCTCGTCTTCAGTACTCAGAACTAGTACCCGAGGGGGAATTCACAGAGACAGTGAAAGAGCTAGACCCTTCTGTTTCTGAAGAAATAGTAGAGGTGGGATGTTGCATGTAGTCTATGGTGGGAGTAATTTCTATGCTAATATAATCAGTAGCATGCGATTCAGAAGATCCCGGAATGCTTCCCGCTGACTCAGATTGTGCTGGTGAAAAGTCTCCAATGCTACAAACTGGGTTGGCATCGTTCAAGTAAGTCAAAGCATTCACCACCTGCCATTGTATCAGAAACACAAACCAAAAACCATCAGATTACGTTTGCTCCACGTAGCTTCTTATTAACTTTAAAAGTTACATAAATAATGCGCAGAATTGATATGATTGATGAGCAAATTAGAGTACTACTGGTCTGTTCGGTGTCAAATTTCAAAGCATATTGAATGTAGAAGTGAATTATTATTTTTTTTCATTTGGACGAGATTAGAAGAGGATTAGACATGAAGGAAGTCATCTCTTCTAATCCTACCATTTTGGGATGGATAGTACTGCTATAGTTTTATTCACAAGTAATCCATCTTATACTTTTTAGTTGGACATAATTTTTCACTTCTTTTTCTTTTTCGACAATCAATAGTGTTTGTGTGTTAAATTATTAAATGTTAGGGGGAGGGGGGTCTAACCCGTCCAAGGTGCATAGGCATTATTGTTTTTCGTTACTGTGATAAAGCATCATCTGCTTCACTTCTTCCTTGAAATGTATTGTTAGAGAAGAATCATCATCTCTAGATTCTTCTCCTTAATTTATGTTTCCTTGCATTATAGGTCAACTCATTCATAATTATATTTTAAATTCCTACCACACGTGGGTTAAGTCATCCCCTTGTTTAAGGAATACTATTTCTACACATACCTTACTTTCGTGATATATTCATTCAAATTCAATCCTGGATACCAAACGAGATCATAGTCACAAAGAGAAATGCTCCAGAGTTTGAATATCAATTGATGGGTTAGTATTTTCTTGTATAAAATGTTACTTAGATACACAAATTAACTATACTCTTACCACCTTTTAATTGGGGTGGGTCCTGCATTGTATGTGGGAAGACATGCAATCATCAATGTAAACAGTTTTGCATGTCTAACATTACCTCTCTTTTTTTCATATTTGGTCTCACTTATTTTTTATGCGTCATGTTGCAGTTGGTATCTATTATTTGATACTTATCTTCATTCTTGTTCCATATTCATCTATATGCATCCAACGTGTGTCCAAGTTTGAAGCTTTATGTTGCAGTTGTTGTGTTGAAGGACTAGATTATGCAGACATATAGAATATCAGAGTCTAGTATCAGGTGGACTTACACTATCCATAGGTAATCTCTTGTGTGGATCCCTGCTGAGACATTTTTCGGCTACCCGAACCATCCAATAGAGCTGGTGAACATCATGGCAATCCACATTCCTCGGATCGATTAAATCTGGGTAGTTCCTTTCTTTTAGCAGTGGTCTTGCCTGGCAAGAAAGTTATAGACTTGTTAGTTCAAAATAATGAATGGAATGTGAAGTGACATACTAGAAGGCTGCTCCTTTTCTTAGTAATCAGTTTGTCATTAGTAATTAATGTTTCCTGGTGCAACAATTCATGAACAGTGGGGAATATATTTTTAGAATTATTTATGGTATGGAAGCTCTTACCCATCCCACAAGACTTTTTCCTTCAAGCTTCTTGTCAGTAGGCCTCAGTCCTGTGATAAGCTGTAATAGAATGACCCCGAAAGCATAAACATCTGTCTTAGTTGACACTTTCCCATTTTCCGCATATTCTGGGGCCAAATATCCCAGAGTTCCGACAACTCTCGTTGTATCTGATGATCGATCTGAGTCTTCGTGTTGAGTTCTCGCAAGACCAAAATCTCCTAGCTGATGCATAGAACATGTTAGATGAAGCATGAATGTGGTACTATGGTTAAACCATGAGGTTTAACTTAAGAGTATTGGAAAATTGGTTATCCAGTCTAGTAATTGCGGCAAGAAGAACGCTTGATGTTTCATTTATTGGATTCGAGTCACATAATAACAGTGATGTTATAGGATCATAAAGCTGATATTAATAGCAGACATATTGGGTTTAGTAAACTTACCAGTGATTCATAATCGTGTGTCACGAGGATGTTGTTTGGTCTCACATCTCTATGGATGATGTTGTTTTGATGCAGGTATAGTAGGCCTTTTGCAGCTCCAGTAGCAATTTTTATCTTCTTATCCCAACTGAGAGGTCTTTTTCTGTGTTCTGCATGAATTTAGAAAAAATGTTATGCAGCGTTTAGGGTTGGACCTCTCGATCCTGAAATATTAAGGAAAACACTTGATTTTTCCAAATTACGGGTTCTTCTAGGCTTGTTCACAACTTACTCGACAGATGTTTATCCAATGAACCATTGCAAACATATTCGTAAACAAGCAGCCTCTTGCTTCCTTCTGAGCATGATCCTAACAGCATTACCAAATTCTCATGTCTTGCCTTGCTGAGTACATGAACTTCAGACTCAAATTCTTTTTCTCCTTGGCAGCTTGCATTCTTATGTTGCTTAACAGCAATCTTCAGCCCATTAAGTTCTCCTCTGTAGACGGAACCAAATCCGCCTTCAGACAAGTAGTTCTTGTCGGAAAATCCATCCGTAGCAGCTACGAGATCTGCATACGTAAAGTCTCTCTTCCATCCAATCATTGGCCGTTTATTCTTGCAATCTGTGCATACTGAATTTTTGAATTCTTCATCTGTTCGACATTCTCCTATCCAATCGTCCTTGTAGCTACGCTGTTTCTGTTCATTGGGACTCCCACCATTATGTGTTTCCTTTTGATCCCTTGCTTGAATCTCTGGAATTGGAAATGAGGACTGCTCTCCTGCTTTCCCTCTTTCGGCATTGGTCGTGCTTTCTTCCTCCCCATAATTACAGGCAAAGCCAGGATTAAATAGGTCAGTATTCCCCAGAGTTGAACTTGACACTCTACTTGCTAGCTGCAGATCACTTGAGGATGTAGATTTTCTATAGCTAGACCTTGAGTGTCCACGACCATCTTGTTCTTTTCCAAAACTGCTCGTACGAGGACTTGGAGATTCTGAAACAAAATGTACTCTTAGTCAAGTTCTTGCATTTGGTACCGACCATAAGAAATGTGGAGTTATGTGTGATAATATAGTGAAAAATCCCTTTTGATTGTAAATTTAATCCATGAACTTGGAACTCCGAGTCCCAGATCATACGAGCTGTGATTAGATTTCTTACTTTTAGGAGAAGGTTCTTCCTCTGGGCTTCCTGGTATCATTTCATCATATCTTACATGGGAGCTTTTACTGCGTTTTTTGGTGACTGGTTTGTTGATGATCCCCCCAATTTCTTTTGGCCCTCGCAATTGTTCAACAGAATTGTTACGTTTCATCCTCGATATGCCACATGGCAACTTCTCCATGAAGAATTGCTTGTCTTTCTTCATCTGCCTGCATCATCAGATCAGAAACAAGCTTTCAAAGGTTGGTGTCTCTATGTCCTCTTACATTTTATTGTTTCCAAATCGCAGTTTGTTTCAATTACAAATATAATTTAACTTAACATGTTTCGGAAATTTAATAGTTTTAAGCAGGAAGTACGAAGCTTCATCGGTAGTATAATGATTTTTCACACCATTTAGCTTGAAAATACACAATTTAATTAACAATATTATGGCTTCAAAATTCAGATTTCAGACTGCACCATAACTATGTTCTCTTGAATTTGAAACCATAACTATTAACAAAGCTTCAATCATTCGTCGAATGATTGACTATTTGACAACACGAATTCATCAATTCAATTCGATATATAAGCTTTTGATATTTCGGATACTTAGCTTATTAACAATTTATTGTCTGTTTTTATTTATTATGCAAAATGAAGGGTGCACTTGTGAAACAAGGTTGGATGAGTATGGCATGAAGCAGAACAATTTCAAATTCTCCAAGTCTATTAATGACTGACCTATCGAGAATCACCCATGTTGCTCCCAATCTTATCGCGGCCTCTGCAGCAACCATCTTCTGAGAGGGACCAGCAACCACCTTCGTGTTGAACTCAACCTGAGAAATGTCATCCAAACAGTGATCCATTTGATTAAAAAATGAGGTTGAAAAAAATTTCCGAGTGGAAAGATGCAATATTGGTCTGATAGATAGTATAGGTGATCGATAAATCTTTAACAAACAGCAGGTGATCTCCACGTTGTAAGAAATAGTGGCCGGAAGTCTTATCTGACCTTCACTTTTTTACACATCGTAGAAATCATAGTGATCTCCTCTTTGCTACGATACTCCTCAGTTTTCCTCACAAGCTCTTCTTCTATGACTTTCTGGTTGGTTCCAATAAATGAACTCGAGTCTATCTTGGTTCTGTATCCCACTGAGAAAGAGGACAGAGAAGGTGGGAAAATGGGGTATTGGGGGAAATAAAAAAGTTAGCAAAACCTGTTCTGTGTGATAGAATCATAGAGTAGAACTAACTTTTTTTTTTCATCATATTAATTGGTGATTTTTTTTGTCATACTTTCGGACTTTATTTTCTTCGTTCTATTAGGAAAACAAAAGAAAAAATTCTTACACAGTCTCCCAGCAAACGTACTAGGATTATTAACCTGGTGAAGAACCGAAAGAAGTATAAGTTCATCCCCAGGCTTAAGGGATAAGCTTTGCAGGACCCGTTTGATTGAGCTCGAACTAACAATGTCTTTGGATGCATCCTGGATCACCACTACTTTCTGAACTTCCGCTGCCATAAATTTTTTTCTGAAACTCGAAGTAGTTCTCCTAAATTTTCAAAACAACGATGCAGTACAGAAGAGAAGATTGACAAAGTGAAAGTAATATACGTATGCTGAACTGGTTCCCAAATTAATGCTTAGTTTCATGTTGCATGTAGACTTCTCCTATGTACATTATGTGTAATATGTATATATATGTGTGTGTGTGTGTGTGTGTGTGTGTAAATATATTTATAGCGGGAAAGAAACTAACACAAATATGTTTGCTTGATGATTAAATGTTGCAACTGTAACATAGCAGTTGCTAGGAAAATGAGAGTAATTTACTGAGAGAATATGATGAAAGAGGATTCTTTTATCAGTGACATTTTGCTGATGATTCAATAGAACCAGAACGTCGGAAATGAATTCGAGAAGAAAATATAGTAGTGGTGAATCCAATCAGCGGCCTCGGAGAGTTAGTTCGAGCATATTCGGATATCCGAAGATGGGACCTGCAGGGGGTGTTTGTTCTTCAAGTTGTGGAGACTAGGGAGAGTATTTAATTAGCATTTGTTTACTACGTTGTTAATACCAATGCTAAGCTTGATTATGATGCATGAACAGTAATTTAATTGCTGTCCTCAAACCAGAACAGTTGGGAATCATTGATAATAACTAGGAAGTCTATGAAGTTTGTTCCTGTAGGTAACTCATTTGTTTATATAAATTTAAACTCTGTTTATTTGGTAATAAAATACTTAAAACAGCTGCTTATTTTTAGCTGTTTTTGCAGGATATTTAAAGTGTTTTAGGAGATAGATTAAAATGGGTGATTGTTTACTAATATCTAGCACTAGTTTGTCAAAATAGTCAAATTTTTTATTAGGATTTTCTTCTGTTTGATCTTAACAGCAACCTGGGTGGGTTTTATCACCAAGAACGTAAGACTGCACACTGTACTCGACATTTGTTAGGGGGTAGTTGACTGTTTTGTCACAGCCCATTATTACTTTTGTTATGGTTTTGCAATGTTTGAAAAGGAGAACGCGAGCGAGGCGTTTGATGGATAATCCTGTCTAGGCGAAAACCTTAAGGCGTGAGACGAACTCTCATGAGACTTAATTTTTATACTATATATTATATATATGTATATATTATAATACTTTGTAAAATAAATATTCATTGTCAGTCAAAAGTGCACAAATTATAAACAAGTATAACTCACATGACCAAGTTTAATCAAGCAATCAAATTAATCAATATTCAAGCATCTACTTAAGTAAATGCCTATATATATATATATATATATATATATATATTAAGGAGAAAAAGAGATATAAGGATAAATATAAAGACTTAAAAAAAGAATAATATAACATTAAAAAATATAATAAAAGATGTTTTTTCTACCGGCCAATCATAAGCATATTTAGGAAAATATAAGGAAAAGACTTAAAAAAAAGAATAATATAACATTAAAAATATAATAAAAGATGTTTTTTCTACGAGCATATTTAGGAAAATATAAGGAAAAGACTTAAAAAAAAGAATAATATAACATTAAAAATATAATAAAAGATGTTTTTTCTACCGGCCAATCATAAGCATATTTAGGAAAATAATAAATATAAAAAAAGATGTTTTTTCTACCGGCCAATCATAAGCATATTTAGGAAAATAATAAATAAAATAAAGGGTAAAAGACTGTTTACTACCCTCATGTTTCGTGGTTTTCAACATTTAGTACATCAAGTTTTTTTCGTCTCAGATTCATACCTAAAGTGTAAATTTTGGGACAGTCTCATACATCCGTTAGTCAAATTGTTAAGTTTTCCGTTAACTGTGACGTGATGCACCGACTGGGCGCCACGTGTCATCCACGTTTTTTTTTTTCTTTTCTTTTCTTCTTCCTTCTTCTTCTTCCTCCGACTGCAACTTGCTTTTTTTTTTTTCATCCTCCTTCTCCTTCTTCCTTCCCTTTCTTCCCCTTCTTCCTTCTTCTTCCTTCTCATTCTCCTTCTTCTTCCTCCGAATCTGGGGAAGCTTTTTTTTTTTTTTTCTTCTTCTTCTTCTTCTTCTTCCTTCTCTTTCCTCCTTCTTCATTCAGTTTTTTTTTTTTTTTTCTTCCTCCTTCTTCTCCTTCTTCCTTCCTCCTTCTTCCTTCCCCTTCTTTGTTCTTCTTCTTCTTCCTCCGAATCTGGGGGAAGATGAATTTTTTTTTTTTGAGGAAGAAGAAGAAGAAGAAGGAGGAAGGAAGGAGGAGGAAGAAGGGGAAGGAAGAAGGAGGAAGAAGAAGAAAAAAAAAAAAACTTCCCCAGATTTCGGAGGAAGAAGAAGAAGAAGGAGAAGGAAGAAGAAGGAAGAAGGGGAAGGAAGAAGGAGAAAGAAGAAGAAAGAAAAAAAAAAGTTGCAGTCGGAGGAAGAAGAAGAAGAAGAAGAAGAAGAAAAGAAAAGAAAGAAAGAAAAAAAAAAGTGGATGACACGTGACGCCCAGTCAGTGCGCCACATCACAGTTAACAGAAAACTTAACAGTTTGACTAACGGATGTATAATACTGTCCCAAAATTTACACTTTAGGTATGAATCTGAGACAAAAAAAACTTGATGTACTAAATGTTGAAAACCACAAAACATGAGGGTAGTAAACAGTCTTTTACCCTAAAATAAAAAACAGTTATCTAATATGTATCTTGTATATGAGGAAATACGTATTAAAATCAAAAAGTGAAGAGTAAGGAGATGGCAGGTAATAAATGTCAATAAGTGAAGATAGTGGGGAATAAATATTAACAAAGTGGGGCAGTTAAAGCATTAAGGACAAAAATTAAAAATTAAAAAAAAATACTCAGCCTAAAAAATCCTAGCCGTCGTCTTCATCTTCTTCGCTAGTTTCTTGGTCTGCAACTCAAAAACAGCCTTGCAACTAAAAGAAATCCAGATTTCTGCAACATAAAAATGCAAAAATGACGCCTAGTTGATGCCTCAGGCATGCCCCGACGAGTCTAGGCGAGTATTTCGCCCACTCCCATAAAACAGAGGCGAAACTAGTGAAGCCCCGCCTCCAATGCCGCCTAGGCACGTCCTGAGGCGAGTTTTTTTAAATGTTGTGGTTTGATCACTTTTTAAAACATTAAAACACCAATTAGAATCTTATAAATGACGAGTTCGATATTAATTTATTTTCCAACAGTTAGTGTAAATATATCATTATATAAACAATACAGCAAAAACACCTCATATTGTGTCAGAGGTAGTGCACCTGCCTTTTATGCTTGACTTCGAGGCCCCTCTTGTAAGTTAGAATAGTTTACAACTGTAAGTGCGAGATTCTTGTGACAAATCAAACAGGAACATGTGTACAAAATAATATTTGTATTGATGAATGTTTAGGGTTACAATCTCTGACTACAAATTTGATCATCAAGTCCGATATTAGGGATGCAAAGGGTGTGTGTGTGTAGGGGTTGTTGATACGAGGCTCGTAGTGACTTAATCTCAAATGAACGGATGTTGCAAGGTTTTGGCTTGTGGCGTTTGAAGAACTGTCACGTGTAGTGGTGCTTGAGATTCTTTACAATTGTGACAAAGAATGCAGAGAGCTCTCTGAGTCTTTTGAGCATTTGGGAATGTTTGGGGCTTGAGAGCTTGAACGTCTGGGTGAGAGAATGAATTTATGAGCCACTTTCGTTGTCTTAGAGCGTCGTATTTATAGGCTCTCCAAGTTTTGATTGGGGCTTGATTTGGCCTTGATTGTGGACTTAATTAATTGACGAAAGAACCAAGACTTGATTTGTGGCTAGGTTCGTGACTTGACTCTATCAATTAATTTGTTTTAAATTTAAATCAATTTATTTGTTTGATTTGAATTAAAATTATTTAAAGAATTAATAAAGATAATTCTTTAACTACTTTTTGTCGACGCGTGACATCCTTGGTGACTCATTTGGTTTTGATGAGGCACTTGTTATGCGTACGATTTATGACACATGGTACACTCGGAAATATTGTCTTTCTATGCTTCTTGTATAATATTCTCAAGTTCGACAAAAAAAAAAAAAAAGAAGGTATAATATTCTCAGTAAATAAGATATTCACATTTTATACAAGGACTGTTTTGACTTGAACAAATTATAAGAATTGGCTTGAGTTGGTTCCATTTAGGCTCATCATTTTAAATGGTTTAAAATAAGCACACATAGAGAACGTATAATCTCAACTTAATCAACTGTTAATTAACAGTATTAACTACATGTTCGATCCAAACTGAGATATCAGATTAATGATAGTCATATCCAGTCTTAATGCGGTTAATCAAAAAACCCCTAAATGTGTTTAATAGCACATTCTATCAGAATGATAAAACTTCATATATTGCACTCATGTAGTGGCTGGAAGATGGGACCATATTGGAACCAATGTTAGTTAACCAAAGTATAGAATCGACATTGAGTCATATGGGCTTGTTTCTAGTTCAGATCTCACATGTAAAAAATTCGTGCTCTAGAGTATTCTATATTCTGAGAAATGTTAAGGAGATTCTCTCAAATGTGGGAATTTCTATGAACTCTCCGTCACCTCATGTTTTTTGCACAATTCTTATGCTTACATTATAAAATATTGTGTCAAAAACGTGAGATGACGAAGAGTCTATGAAGAGTCTCACTTTGAGATAATCTCCTTAGCATTTCTCTCTATACTCCAACTATTAGATCTCGATTTTTGTGTTTTTCTATAAAAAAAAATTACCTATTTAAAAGTTTGAGTATCTAATTCTTCGGAACTCTATAAAAAAATCTTGTCACATGTATATATTATTCATTGAGAGCTGAGCGCTGTTGTTTGGGCTATAAATAAAAACAAGGTATGCTATAGGGCCAATCTATTTTTATTTACACAAAGGCATGCCATACCGGCCCACCAATTTCAAAATCGAACTCAAGCTAACTCCCCAGGGCTCAGGATGACCTCTTCCCCTTAGACCTCACCACTGGAACTCAGACTCGACCCTTCCCAGAGCGAGTTTGCCATGTGAACGACCAAACCCAAGAATATCTCGCTTCCTTAAATGACAAGGAATGTGTCACCAACCAAAAATTGCACTTATTGTCAGCGTCAAAAGACCAATGTACTCTTGCTCCAACTCAGAGATATGATCGAGGATGCTCCTCTCCAACTACCTATCAATAAAGCTAAAGGCTTCAAGCAAAAGACCTTTGTCACATTCAATCTCTATGGTTATACAAACGCAAGTGATTTTTCAATCAACCCAATTGCTTTTCATCACAAACAAATTAGTCTTTAGCAAATACTAGGTATAATGCCCGCGCGTTGCCGCGGGTTTAAAAACAGTGTAACAGAATATTAATACCATTGATAACAGAAACATTAGAAACACTATAGAGATAAACAGTTAAATATGCACAACTTCATTGGTAAATATTACATCCATTTGTCATAGTTTAGTAGTTATAGCTATCATTCTACTGAAACCAGCACTTGGATACAAAAAATTACAAAATGCTGGTCCATGTACATGCAAAAAATATTACATTCATCTAACAGTCTGGTAGTTGTAGTTGTTTTTAACCAGAACCAGCAATGATATACAAAATATTAATAAGTGCTGGTGTACGAACATGCAAAAATATTGATAAGTTTTGAGTAAAAAGAGTTATTTGCATGCCATAAAACATCCGGAAGAGTTTTTTACATATGCTGATGAACCATACTGTATATTTTTGAGGGCACCAGATGAAGTTTTGGTTCTCCACTGTCAAAACAACCTAGTTGCAGAAAATAAAACAAACTATATTTAAATAACTTGTTTGGTAACTGTTGTTGGCCAACTAATCTTTGATTCAGTACTAAATCTTTACATGGCACACCAAAAAGCTTTTCACCAGATTTTCCAATTATGAGAGCATTGATTTCATTAGTGTGATCCTCAAGAACCAAATTGACTTTATACCTAGATTAAAAAAAACAAAACTGCTTGAGGGAAAATAATCTTGAATTCAACTTATACAAATAAATATAAAACAGAAGAAAGCATTGATAAAACCACAAAAATCAATGTTTGTTTTTAAACTTAAATCTACAACGAAATTCATGGTTATTAAGTTAATTAATAGTTTGGATTTATGATAGCCATATTGGTTATGGTCTTCACATATACTCAAGTGTAAACAAAAAGAAGCAGACTGTAGTCACTAAGTAATGAAGATAACATGGTCAAAAGTGCAAAAGCTATACCAATTTTGTACAAAAAGGGTAAATATGTGCTGCAATGAGTATGTTTTGAACAATGATTTAATTGTTGACCACATAGTATTTGAAAGTTGTTTAAATAACGTGAAAGCAGGAAAGGTTGGAATTTTTTTGTTTAACATCACAAAATTTAAGCTAAGTATCACTCTAACAAAGTTTTGGATAACAGCTGCAGAAAAACAGCGAGAAAACTAATCAAGGAGGGTGAGGATATCTGACCTGATTTCATTCTTGATAAATGTATTCAAACCATGTGCATACAAATATGAGAAAAAATGTGAAAAATGTGAAAAAACAGATTTGGTAAATGTTAGATTATATAAAGAAAGAATAAAAGATAAGGATAACAAATATTTAAGACAAAGTTTGAGGAATGCATGTTAAACATTACCAAGGAGTTGGAATTTGGTTTGGATGCTTTTGGCAGATCAGCTGTCCAGTTGTCAAGTCTTTATGCATTTGTTTTACACAGTTGGCATACGCACTATACCACCATTGATAACGTGTGTCAAAATACTTGACACACGCTTTACAGAAAAACGTATCATTCTGCAAAACAGTTTGTAATAGTTTTGTATAAGGAATACTAATTATGTAGACAATGTTTATTAAAAATGTAAAAGTGCAATCATATGTTTTTAAGATGAGTTAAAAACATGTAATTAGATTTTATACCTTGTGTAAATCAAGATCTAGAAAAGCGACTTCATCAATTGTGAACATCTTGGTTGTACGTAAAATTTCAGCCTCATTTACTTGTCTGGAGAAGGGGGCCAATATTTTCACAGGCTCGTTACAATTTGCAAACCTGTATGATTGAAAATGTAAAACTGTTTGAATAATTTTATGAAACTAATATTTCTTTTGCTTTTACAACAGTGAAAAGAGTTTAATTGTGTTAAAAGCTATAGAAATACTTACACCGACTTGTATGCATTAACTTCTGGGATGTTTGGATCAAAAAGGAGAAGTGAGCAATCTGTACTGTTCGTCACAATTTTATCTGTGCATTGAAAATAATGATAAGAAAGTTGAAAGAAAATATTGATAAATGGTTTTACTGACACAGGCCAAGTATCAGAATGATATGATACAATCACTTACTGCACCATGACTTTAATTTAAATGGACAAAGTTTTAAAAAGCTGAAAATAAAAGAGAAAGTTAATTAATAACAGTGATTGACAATCAATTTATTAAGATATTTAAAAATTAATTAATCAAGTATAAAACAAAGATATATGATAAGTCACACGAAGTGAATATGATAAAATTATGTCATCAGAAAAGATTTGAACAATTTACACAAAGCTGTGTTAAAAAATAATAATAAATAAAGATACGAAAGATTGCTTCTAATTAAGTTAAGTACCTAGATAAAGCTTCACTTTTAAGCTTGTAAAAATGACAACTATTGGGAGAGGCAGTGCTTGGACAGATGAAGAACAAAATTCTTCAGCGACGTCTCCCCATAGTGTAACAGTGAGTTGTTCCCTTCTGTAGATATATTAAATCAGAAACAAATATATACATGTTTTTCAATATAAAGCAAATTATGAAGATAATCTATAATGAGAGTGATAAGAAAAAAGGAATAACCTGACATTTTGAATGTGTATATCACACTTGTATGCTACCCTTTGATTAATCTGTTTTGGCTCTAAATGTTGTATTGCAGTGAGATGACTAATGACATCTTCCAATTTAAAAGGTAAATATAAGCATGTTGTGAAAAATAATTTGGCAAAAATAAACTTTAGTGTTTTTAATCTCTATATATAGATACATATATAATATTATTACCTGTAAGAATGTCAACTTTGTTCAAGTGGGGATAAAGAATGTTGTAATCCTGTAGGAAAAACCGGTGTCGAGGAATAGGTGGAAACACATTTTGAGAGCTTTTTGAAATTTGTTTTACCACTGAATATAAGCTGAGTCTCATGCGGCACCACATTGTACTGGCCCTTCATTCTAGTGGTCCGAAAATTTGTGATTTCATAGCTACCACCAGGTTCAATTTTTTAAGCTGTAGTCTCGTAGTCAATGTCCGATGTGGAGCCTTGAACCGCATGTTTCTTTACTATTGGTTATGCATATAAAGTGAATCCAAAAAAAAAAGGGGGAAAAAAACGAACAAAGTTAAAAAGGAGATTAATAAACGGAAAAAAATAGATATTATTCATCAGTATGCATATATTAAATTGTTAACATGGAGAGATTATTCATCGCTAAGTCTTAAAAGAAATGATTAAATAAGTAAAATATTAATTTCTCAGACATCAGTTATATAACAATACTATCTTGTGCAAGTAATGTAGATAAATAAGGAAAGATAAGCTAACTTAAATCAAAATTTGATAACTATGCAGGAGTAAAGACTTAAACAAAATATTGATTAAGAAAAATTCAATGACTTATGAAAGTTCAAAAAGACACAGAAAAAAAAAATTGAATAGCCGTCATTGGTTCAAAGAATATAACTGAGCTCATACTATTATCCAACTACAGTTATCCATATCATAAACTGGGGGAGAAACAACATTTAGAAATCATTCAAATCAAGAAATACCTAATAACCCAAATTAAATTTTAATCAAACAAATGAAAACATACCAGCCAAATCAACAAAAACCATAAAACACTTCACTCAAAAATCAATTAAGACTTAAACTTGAGATTTTCATCAGAGAGTAAGTGTACCTAAAGCTGTGTTCTTTATAGTTGCTAGAGCGCGGGACGACAATCATCGCTTTCTGAAAATAAAAAAGAACTAAATCAAATGACACAACCCAACAAAAAAAATTAAAAGTTAAAAACGCACGCTAAAAAAGAAGGGAAAAATAACCAATAAGAACTTGTAAGACCTGAGAGGTTTTAAACAAAAGGAATCTGGAGCAGTGCAACACTTCTCAGCCACCTAAAATTTAATCAAATTGCTATATCAGAACCATCATAAACATAAGAGGCAACCAAATTGATATAAACATAAGAGGCAACCACATTGGTATATCAAAATAAAACGCAGCTTATAATTTGGAGAACCTAAAATTTAATCGAACTGCTATATCAGAATCAGAACCATCATAAACATAAGAGCCAACCAAATTGATATATGAGAATAAAACATAACTTATAATTTGGACAACATAAAATTTAATCCAATTTAAACATGACAAATGAACAGATAAAGATGCTCCCAAATTTTTCGATCACAAATGGACCAAACAACTGATGACAACTTTAAGATTAACTACGTAACAAAGTAAACCTCACCCTCGACTGAAAACAGACAGTGCACCAGCCAAGTTACCGTCTTCTCTGTACAAACAAAACCTGCAAAACCAATCATGAACCAAAAAAAAAAAACAAACAAATTATATACCATAAGCTTGAAAAACGCTGAGAAAGGAAATTCCAGAAAGAGAAAACAGATGGAAGGCAAAGACTCTTCAATTTTAAACCAAAAAAAAAACAACATATTGTGTAGACAAATTGCTGGGTTCAACAGCCCGTAATTAACAAAACCAAACAAAACCCCAAATTGATTTCAAAAAAAAAGAAAAAAATTAATAGAAAACATTCGACGCCGTTTATATCTTGCATCCCTTCTATAATTGTTTCCATCTGAGACCACATAAAAACCTCCATATTCAATTTAACCACCCATGAAAATCCATAAGAGAAACTGGGTTTAAAAATTCACCCAAATAAAGATTTAACTTTTGTATTCTTTCGAATCTATCAAAATCAAACTTTCCAGTTTCAAACAAAAGAAAAATCAAAAGTTGAAAACCCTTACACTGATACGGTGTTGAGTGAAGAAACGAAGAGCTGAAAAGGACACAGACCGAGATTTGAAAGGGACGACCGAAGGCGAGAATGGAAAGAGGAAGAGGAAAACGCACAGCTTGCAAAACGATAGAAATGCATAATTTGGTATGGGAAACTGAACAAAAAGCAAAGTGGGTATAAACTAAAAACCAAACCTCACGATGACCGACACGTGGGCTAGGTAAAAAAATCACTGACACGGCATGGAGAAGGAACCACAGATGATGGACAGGTGGATAAAAACGGCAGACCCGATGAATCACTGTACAAAATGGAAAGAAGCACACTGCAAAGACTAACATCACCACGTGGGCTAGGTAAAAATATCACTGAAACGGCATGGAGAAGGAACCACAGATGATGGACAGGTGGATAAAAACGGCAACCCGATGAATCACTACAAAATGGAAAGAATCACACTGCAAAGACTAACATGAGGGGCATTTCAGTCAGTTAACTGTACCAAGCAGATAAGACAATGGAAAACAAAGAAGAAACAAAGGGGCATTTAAGCCATCACACTGCTCGTGAACAGTGTTTTCCACCGGGGTTTTAGTATAATAGATAATAATGAGAAAGAAAGAAATGCAGGCGGAAAGAAGAAAATGAGGAGAGAGAGAGAGACGTGAGGGATGAGAGAGAGGGGGACAGATGGGAACCACTGACATTTTTTTTTTTTTTGTCCAATAACTACCAAAGCTAATAAGAGGCCGTGAAGGACAAATAGACTTTCCAC